GCCCCCCCCCCCCCCACACACACACACACACTCACACACAACAACAATGGTGTGGATCTACGCCTAATAGAAACAGAACCCTTCCTTAGAATTCTGATTTATTGAGTAGGTGTTTTACGGCACTATCGACTCAATTTTGGTCATGTAAGTGCCATTTAGAATTCTGATCAGCTAGACCTATTTTATAATTTTTTTTAAATCTCGCTGGTGGGTAACAGTAATCGGAGGCAACATTACAACACTACAACTACCCTATTATTCTACCTCCCGGTCAATTGCCCTTGCAGCTGCGACAAAGAAGAGTACAACTAATTTGTATCAGAAACAAAGAATGGAGATTGCGTTGAGAAAAGATCAAGAGAGCCCTACATTCCAGTCAGTCTAGTTCAGCCCCAAACAATTGAAACATCCCCTGCCCTCACAGCAACAGACATTTTCGGGCGAAGATCGGCCTGATCAGCCATCTCCGTTCACATCCACCCTCCTCTCTAGTGATATGATCTCAAGGTCATCTTCACCAATGAAGGACGAACATCACGATTCATTTAATTTTAGTGGCATACAGACGTTTTATTACGCTGGAGTAATGAGCGAATGGCCCTGGTTCGAATCTCCAATAGGACGATTTGAACTTGGGTTGTTTGGGGGAGTTTTTAGGGCTTTCCTCCTATTTGACTCAGTCCTATCGGAGATGGACGTTAAATTCGAAGTTCCTGTCTCTCAAATTACACAACAGTGCTGATGAAAGGGATGGTGTGACATCAATTTTTCTTCTTCTTTCTCAACATATTTCTCCTCAGCCTGGTGTCTGTTTCGGAGTAATTTGCCTAAAGCTTTTCCTTCGAAATAACACTTTGATTATTATGTTAACTGGAGCGTCAAATTATTTCAACAACAACCGAACAGTGTGCAATTACTTGTGAGCCCACGCAGACGGTTGGGGACGTCACTGGTCGTGCTCAGTCCTACTTCTTTTCTTACCTACGAGTAGTATATTGTTTCTTATTGTCTGTGTATCTTGCCTTTTCCCTACACTAAAAGTAAAAGACAGTTTTGTGTAGATGTGTTTGTCTTTTATTTTGTCAAACTAAAAATCCAAAGTCATCACCTCATGTTAAAGATTTGACACCCCCC